ACTAGAGATATTTCCACGCTTTGTTTCCAGCGTTCGCCAGCATGCAAGTCCATACTCTTATTCAGTTGTCACCGCTGCAGCCCATGAAGAGGATCAAGGCCCTCTCCTCTGGAGTAGACCACGTTTCTCCCTTTTCCTCTCCTCCCTGTGTGTCCTAAGATGGAGGGGATGGGCCTGGGTACTCCACTGACTGCCCAGCCGGCCTCTGTCCTTCCCCAGCTTTCTCCACAACCTCCGGAGCCACACTTCCACTCCCTGTCGGCTGTTCCTCCTTTCCCTCAGAGTCAGTCTCCACCAGGGGCATGACAAAATGTTTGGTTCTCATTCAGCTAAAGCTTCTTGGATAAGAAGTGAAACGTTTTCAAGGAAAAAAAACCAAGAAAATCCAATTGTCTTTTGAAAAACCACCTTTGGGGCCACCATGACCTGGGTGATTAAGAATCTCCATAGACATCTATTTTTTCCTTATATTGTTACCTAAGAACTGTGATACCCAGGAAAATGGGTTAATGTCTTGGCTATAGCATATGGCCCAAGAATTAGGATGGATCTTCTACTAATGCATGCAGAGTGGAAAATGTTCAGAGCTGTACATTTTCAGACATGTGTAACAAGCAGAGAAGCAGTGTTTTTTTAAAAAAATCAGAATTACAGTCATCCTGCATTAGTCAGGTTGATATTAGGCTGTTGGGACATGTCCAGTCAGACATCTGGAGTTTTGCAGGCATTCAGCTTGGATTTAAATCATGCCAGTCATTAGTCCTGTGTTATCCTGATATTTTTGAATCAACAAGAGGTGGAGAAAGGACTGCCTTAAATCTGGTAGACCAGTCGCTACTTGATGCAGGAAGCATAGGGCACGGCATCTGTCGTGGATGATGGGTCTGACTCTGCTTGGAAAAACAAATAGTGTAGTCATTGTGTATTATTAAAACTACTTGTAGACTTTCTCCTGACATCCAGCTGAAATCTGTACCTTACGACTTTTAGGATGCATCTTGCACTTGGTGGCAGCAGAAGACGCATCTTGGTTGTATTGTAAAGCAGCAGTTTCACAATTGTCATGCCCCTGTCAGAGCCTGAATCCAAGGAGGAAGTTGAACAGCTGACAGGGAGTGGGAGTGTAGCTCCATTGGATGTGGAGGAAACTGGGGAAGGCAAAATCCATCTGGGCAGAGCAGGGAGAGGTAGAACAAGGGAGAGGGAGTTCAGAGGAAGACCCAGGCCCACCCCCTCTTTATCTTAGGGCACGCAGGGAGGAACAGAGAAGAGAGCAATGTGGGTTGCATGGCTTACGGGGGAGAAAAGGGCCCTGATTCCCTTTATTAGCCACACCTGGGAAGAGAGTTTAAAAGAGATGCGAGCCGAGTGTGGCAGCTGCTGGGAGCAAATGTGAATTTATCTTGTGTTGACTTTGGTTATCTGTGTTCCTGGCATCTTCCCAACTGTTCCTTCTCCTGCCCTGCCAGACTAATTACCTCATTTTGCCTTGATTGGACTTATAGTTACAGTTTTTGTTGACCACGTTTTGGACTTGATTCTCTGCCCCCAAAGACTGTTCCTGGGAGAGTTTTTCTCCAGCCCAGAAGGGAACAAAGTTGAAGCTAATAAAGGGGCTCCTACTGATTATCTGATTGTGTTGCCTTTGTGCCACGCCCCTTTGGGTCATCACACCAACATTTTTAGTACCAAGGACCGATTTCATGGAAAACAGTTTTCCCACACCCTGGGAATGAGGATGGTTTTGGTTTCGCTTCGCTCGCTTGTCACTCACCTGCAAGTGTGCGGTCTGGATCCTACCAGGCCACAGACTGGTTCCTGGCCTGGGGGTTGAGGGCCCCTGTTATAAAGGATAACACTTGCGTGAAGTTGTCTTAGTCCACAGCCCCATTCTTATTCCCTGCAATAAATCACTCCAGTTCCACCAAGTCCTTGAAACACCCTTTCCTATACTTGGCACTCTTTGTCAGTACCTTCTCCATTTGTTCTGCAACAGTGAGGACAATTTACCAGTGGAACAGCTTGGAGGTTACCAAGAAGTGACTGGGTAGTCCTTCGTCCGGAATGATATAGGGTGTCCTGCTTGGACTAGAAGACTGCTAAGGTTCCTTCCAACCTTATTATTCTATGTTCTAAATAATTACTGCTAACTATTAGTAACCAGTGGCTATCTAACAGAGCTTCTCGTGTTAGAGGTTTGCATTAGAGGTATTATCACTTCTGGCCACTCTATATTGGCTTAAGATGGGTATCCATTGCAGAGATCTATGTCCAAAGCATGTATTGTATCGTCTCTGTAGCCACATATTGGCTAAAAAAGGGCCTTGCAGCCACTTTGCTGGAGATGGCACTGCCATGCTGAGCAAGCTTGTAGCACCCCCTCCTGGCATGTTCCAAAAGCATGTTCTCACATGCGTGGCTTTCTAGAGACATTTCCCCACATTGCATTGTAGGAAATAATCACATTCCCTATTGTGCTGTCCAGACTGTGTATGGGAATTGGATAGTTAGGTAGCAATTGTGAGCTGTCCCCTTAAGGGAATGCATCATGGTAAATGTAGTTAAGGTATCCTGGGAAATGTAGTCCATATCACGTGACCACATCTGTAATCCTGATTGGTCACTAAATTGACCCTCAATGGGTAGGAGGACTTTTCCTCACTCTTGGCTGAACTCACGGACTCGTGGTAACTGTTCTACTTCTATCGCCACGAGATGAGAGAAAAAGGACAGAAGATAATCATCTTTTTACCTACAAGACAGCTATACAAAGGATTGATCATTAAAGAAGAACTTCGTCACAAATGTGAGTTATGAGGATACCTGATGAACCAATAAATGTACTTTGTTATGGGCGTCTTGTTGAGTTTATCTATCTGCATCTGCACAACTTACAAATCCACCACTGTACAGAATACAGAACAGTAAAAAGATGATTATCTTCTATCCTTTTTCTCTCATCTCCTGGCAATAGAAGTGGAACAGTTACGACGAGTCCGTGAGTTCAGCCAAGAGTGAGGAAAACTCCTCCTACCTATTGAGGGTCAATTTAGTGACCAATCAGGATTACAGATGTGGTCACGTGATATGGACTACATTTCCCAGGATACCTTGACTACATTTACCATGATGCATTTCCTTAAGGGGACAGCTCACAATTGCTACCTAACTACCCAATTCCCATACTGGACAGCACACTTACATTTAATTCATGATTATTATAACTTCAAATTTGGTCAAGTAACATTTTGTTCTGTCTGGACTCTATCCACATTTTTCCTTTGCCCTGTCTACTTTTCCTATGCCAGTACAAGTAATCCTTGACTTATGACCACAACTGAGCCTCAAAGTTTCTGCTGCTGAGCGAGATGTTTGTTAAGTGTGTTTTTCTCCAAGTTACGATTTTTAATGCCACTGTTGTTAAGTGAATCATTGCAGGTGTTAAGTTGGGGACACAGTTGTTAAGTGAATCTGGCTCCCCCCATGAACTTTGCTCGTTTAGAAGGTCGCAAAAGGGGATCATGTAAGCTTGGGGCACTGCAACCGTCATAAATTTGAGTCCGTTGCCAACCGGATGAGTTTTGATCACATGACGATGGAGTTTCTGCGATGGTCATAAGTGTGCAAAATGGTCATTAGTCACTTCTTTCAGTGCCGTTGAACTTCGAAAAATCAGTAAATAAACAGTGATAGATTTGAACATTAGTAGCTTGGGTTGGTGGCTCAGTGGCTAAGATGCTGAGCTTGTCAACAGAAAGGTCAGCAGTTTGGCGGTTCGAATCCCTAGCACCGCGTAAGAGAGTGAGCTCCCGTTACTTGTCCCAGCTTCTGCCAACCTAGCGGTTCGAAATCATGTAAAAAATGCAAGTAGAAAAATAGGGACCACTTTGCACCTTCAGCATTTAGTCCTGCTAGCCACAGGACCACGGAGATGTCTTCGGACAGTGCTGGCTCTTTGGCTTTATAACGGAGATGAGCACCACTCCCTAGAGCCGAAATGACTAGCACGTATGTGCGAGGGGAACCTTTACCTTTAGCTCAGGTTGGTAGTTGGGCTATTGGTTTGAGCTCCAAGCTTGGCAATTTGGTTGTAAGTCAAGGACTACCTATAAATTACCAATGATGCAGGTTAGCAACCAGCTACTTCTGGGCTAATTCTGTTATTTTGGAGAATATTGCTTGTTCTCTGTTAACACTCCTTAGTCGAGGAAGAAGCCAAACAGAAGGTAGAAATCGTGCCCTCCCTCCCTTAGGTTTGATTATTTCCCAGTTATTTTAGAAGTCTGTGGAGACATCTTGAACTTGTGGTTATCCCGACTGGGCCTTCATCAAATCCAAAAAAAGGACCCAGCAAGAGCTCCTCCATTACAGACAAAGAAGAGAACAACAAATGTTAGCAACATTGACTTTCCATACGTTGTAGGATTATCTGAAAAGCTCAGGATGGTTTTCAACCAACACAACATGCACGTGCACTTTAAACCAGGGGTCTCCGATCGTGGCAACTTTAAACCTGGAAGACTTCAACTTTTAGAATTCCCACTTGGGCGTGGCAGGGGAAGGATACTGCAAAATCTCCATTCCCTCCCCACCCCTGTAACCTGCTTTCCATCTCCATTCTCCTGTGCAGGGGAACAAAAGAAGACCCAGCCAATCAGCTGGGACTCAGGAGGCAGAGAATAGATGGGGTTGGTGGGGTCAGTCAGAGGTGGTATTGGACAGTTGTCCGAACTGCTCAAAATTTCCGCTACCAGTTCTCCAGAACTGGTCAGAACCTGCTGAATACCACCTCTGGTTTAAACCCAAGAATACACCAAGGCAGATACTTGCACAAACTGGCTGTCATGTCTAGGTCATTAAATAAATCGTTATAAGTCAAGAACTACCTGAAGACTAGTTCCAAGACTAGGTATGTCTCCTCCCCAAAGTTGTGTCTTGAAGCGTAGAGCCTCTCTCTTCTCCTGTACATCATCTTCTTTCTTTTTTTCTCCTTCTTGTAGACTCGGATGCAGAGTTTGCAACCTGACCCCAAAGCTCAGTACCGGAGCGTCTTTGAGGCCTTGAGGAAGATCATCCGCACGGAAGGCCTCTGGAGGCCGCTGCGTGGAATTAACGTCACCGTCTTTGGCGCCGGCCCAGCCCATGCCTTGTATTTTGCCTGCTATGAAAAAATGAAACGCACTTTAAGTGACATTATTCAACCTGGAGGCAACAGCCACCTGGCCAACGGTATATTGACATAACCCCATGGGTGCCATCTTGGTGCTTTGACTCAACTTGCGTACTTTTTCATGTGGTCTGACATCTTCAGCATGCAATTTCTGCTTCTGGAGAGACAAAAACAAGACGCTTGGAAAGACTCCGTCTTTGGCAACCTAGGCGTTCTTGCTACCTTCAACCTCTTGTCTATTTCCTACAGGCACCTGCTCAGTTTTAGAGGCACGCATGTATGAAGAATATCGAAGATACGTAGTGCTCCAGTTCCTCTAAAAGTTAGATGTTCAAGTGTTTTGATCATAAATACCTCTGATTGGGCTCTGGGAAGGAGTTGTCTGAAACAGCTTGTCGGTCCAACGTGGGCAGCTTTCTAGGAAAAATTGGTTCTTAGATTTTTGGGGTTTGCTTCTCTCCAGAAATCCGTTTTAACACTGCTAAATCTTGTCAAATTTGGCCGTTTGCAAAGAATGTAAAATTACAAGCTGGCTAGATCACTCCAATCTCCACATTTTTACTTCCCATAATAATCACCCAGCTGTTTTTAAAAATTTACCAGTCTTTCTCTCCAGCATATGTCACTCAGAAGCATGCTGGTTCTTTAACTGGAATTTCTGCTTTTAGGATGCTTATTATGTGCTTCATGGCAAACTATGTGCTAGAATAAATTCTGTAGTCTTTTAATCGGCAGTTCACAAATTTGCATCTAATTGCGTTTCCATTATCCTCCAATTAACACAAATAGCTTTTCACTGATTTTTGTTTGTTTTATTTAGGTCTTCTTGGCACTGAATCAGTAGGATTCAGAAGGATTCTTTCAGTAGAAAGAATCAGTAGGTTGCTAATATTTAAATGTATGCCTCAAAATTCCTGTTTGGCTAAAAGACAGATACATACTTGCTTGAGATAAACACTTACATTATTTTCCATTAATTAAGATGATGTTAGCATTTGTTAATCATTTCTCAGTGCATTAATCCACAGCAGAAATGTCCAATCTTGGTAACTTTAACCAAGTTAAACTTGGTAACTTGTAGACTTCAATGCCCAGAATTTCCCAGCCAGCATGAGAGTTGAAGTCCTCAAGTCCTATAGGTGATGAAATTGAAAATGGTGCGCTTGTCTTAGTATATAAGAGATGCATATTTTTAATCTCCTTAAATATGCAATTAAAGAGATAATTGAGCCATGGCAGAGTGGTTACAATGCAGTAGTATAGGCTAACTCTGCCCACAGCCAGGAATTCGATTTTGACCAGCTCAAGGTTGACTCAGCCTTCCGTCCTTCCAAGGTTGGTAAAATGAGGACCCAGATTTTGGGTGGCAATATGCCAATCTTATTTCTGCTACCATGTTGGATGCCTTACTTCTTGTTCCCACTAGATGCACCTCCTTAGGAAAGGTGAACCGCAGCGTTCCTTGCCTTCTTGCTCTGGTAGGATGTTAGGACGTAAAGTTTGAATTACATGTCTGGAACAGGTAATTATGTGATGCTTAAGCATATTAAAAAGGTGGAGTGTGATCAAAGCACCATCTTCATTTTGAGGGAATCACTCCCATGTTTTTTGAAGGTTGTTCTTACTGGGGCCAGGGTGCTGTTGTGCTCTTCACAATAGTTGCCTCATTGGAAGAGGTCCTTGGAGGTCAACCTAGATTAATGATTTTTTTCTGGAGATTATTTCCGGCTGAGATGGTAATAAACAAGGCATCACGAAGACACTCCTTGCTTCACACCAGAGTGTTCTTCAGTGTTACTTGGGATTATAATTATGGTATTTAAACTTGCATAGTCTAAGAAGTTGTTTATAACTTTCTTAGCATCCACCAATATTAATAATATGTATTTTTCAAGATGATGCCTGTTTCTCTTTATTTGAGAACAATGAATACCACACAATAATGTGATATTCCCAAAGCTTTCATTGTATAATGATTTACCTTAAAAAGTCTCTAGATGGCAAGTTGTCTGAATGCATCTTTTGCAGTGTTGATGTGTGGGTAAGAGAGAAAACATTCTAGCTGATCAGAATAGAATTTCAGATTAATTTTTTTGATTTTGCCCTCCAAGCAGTAGATCAAGGTGAGATGATTAGTGGGTCATCCTCCATGGCTTAACTTTGGAATTCTGGAAAGAGACAATTGTTTTATTCCCAAGAGGAATAATTTCAAGTAAAGTTTTTTTTTTTTTCTGGCTGAGATAAAACATTTTTAGATGTGGCCTTCCTACATAATGCAGAATTTGGGGTTATGCAAGATTAATAATTTGAAGTTCAATATAATTTTAATGAAGGGTGCTGAGTGCTATTCTCATGCTTAGTTTCATTTGAAGATGCAAGTGGCATTATGTATTTTACATGGATAGTTGACATTTTATTTCAATAATCACTAAGTTTTTTCCATATAGTGTTCATTAGATTGAGGGGGAAAAGGATATAGATATCACTTTCCCGACCTTAAAAGGAAACTGTCAATTGCCCTGTGAATCCTTGAGATACACACTTAAATGATTTTCCATTCGTTAAGATTATGTTAACATTTGTTAATTATTTCTCAGTGCATTAATCCACAGCAGAGATTCCAACCTTGGTAAATTTAAGACTTGTAGACTTCAACTCCCAGAATTTCCCAGCCAGCATGAGAGTTGAAGTCCTCAAGTCCTATAGTTGACAAGATTAGACATCTTTGATCTACAGGAATAGCTTTTGCTGTCATTATTAAGGCAATTCTGAATATTCTCTGAAACCATAAAGGAAATTGTTTATCATATGTTATGGCTGATATTGAGTCCAAATGGTTATATTTCTGGTTATATATAGCAAAGGTTTTTTAATTAACTTGTGCCCTTTGAGAGATTTGCTGAATGCTGCCGTAGTTGGTGAGGTTAGGGGAAAAATAATGCCAGCTAACATTTTCTATCGCACTGAAAGTTCTAATTTAATGGTAATTTTTGAAAGAATTCTGATTGACTGCCAGCAGTGCATAGCTCCAGGTTGTATATTTCTAGCTTCTGTAAATCTTAGGCAACATATTCTTTTTTAAAAATTAGAAACAAACAAACCCTATTCATTCTTCCCAGCCATGCTGTTGATAAGTTCATGGAAATTTTCGACATTTTAAAAAAAAATTATGGAGGTTTTTCATTTAGTACTTTCAGATTTTTTAAAAATGATTTCACAGCTGTTAAACACAATTGTTTATATTCTTTTTGTATGTGACTCTTAGTGTATGTATATCTGTGATGCTGTATGTTCGTTTTCAAATGATCTGCAACACATTAGGTTGGTTTGCAAGATGTATATTGAGCCTGGAGTCTGATATGCTAAGTGCTAATCATGAAGGGTAGGCCGTTTTGTGCAGAGAACCAAGGATGGCTTGTCAAAACTTGCTTTGTGAAAAGGGGTCTGTCTTCATTTCTTGTTTTGCAGGCATGGCTGGGAGTATGGCTACCCTTCTTCACGACGGTGTCATGAATCCAGCAGAAGGTAATGCTGTTTGGGGCAAGTGGTCCACGGAGGCCCGAGAGAAGGGAAGGATAATTAAAAATGATCTGAGATACGCATTGCATTGCAGTGGTGCGGGATTGAGCTGTGGTGGCGCAGTAGTTTGAGTGCAGTACTACAGGCTACTTCTGTTGCCTGCTGGCTGCCTGCAGTTTGACAGTTCGAATCTCACTAGGCTCAAGGTTGACTCAGCCTTCCATCCTTCTGAGGTGGGTAAAATGAGGACCTAGATTGTTGGGGGCAAGAGGCCGACTTTGTAAACTGCTTAAAGAGGGCTGTAAAGCACTGTGAAGCGGTATATAAGTCTAAGTACTATGGCTTTTGCACACCAGGGTTCCATATCAGATGTCAGAAGATTCTACGATAAAAAGAATATATCTTAACATCATTGGGTTGTAACAAGTGTATAGCAAAAGAAATTCTTTCTAGAGATTATCAGAAAGATACTGTGGGGTCCTTGGTAATCTCTGAGATTGGTTGTTTTCTTGCAGACAATTCCTTATTCAAGTAGGTAAGTTCAGCAGATGTGTTGATGTGGTTATCTAGTTGGGTAATGAAACGTCTGCAAACAAAGAACCAAGCTCAGAGAGCACCAAGGACCCCACAGTTCAACCCCGAACTACAAATATTCTAGTTCTAGTGAATATTTATGAAGAGAACATTTTAGCCAAAACTTATCCTTGTCCTTTCCAAGAACAACTCTTCGCTCCATGAAAGGAGGCCTATAAATGTGCTTGCAATATGGCAGTGGGGAAAACATCCCTGCCAGTCAGGATGCAGCCTTAAAAATAGGCAATACTCTCTCGTCTTTTGCTTGGAAAGGATCTGAGTTGGTGCAGCTGATTAGGCAAGTGATAAATCACACTGCAGCCACTGCAACTTTCCTGCCCTGCTCCCAGGCGGCCCTTCATGAATCGGTATCTTCTACTCAAGTGTGCGGCCTTGATCTAACTTGGATTTCTTTTGTTGTTTCTTGTCTCCTGTGTTGTTCCTTCGCTGTGCTTTCCGTTTCCATCCGGGGGATGTGCACGATATCTGATCCTCTGGATGCCAGTGGTGAAGCAGCGCATGCAGATGTACAATTCTCCACACAAGACAGTCATGGAGTGCATCCGGACAGTGCATCGGACTGAAGGCTTGGGGGCCTTTTACCGTAGCTACACCACCCAGCTCACCATGAACATCCCTTTCCAAGCCATCCATTTCATCACCTACGAGTTCATGCAGGAGCAGATGAACCCCCAGCGACAATACAACCCTCGCTCGCACATCATTTCGGGCGCCGTGGCAGGCGCCGTGGCAGCAGCTGCCACCACCCCTTTAGACGTTTGCAAGACCTTGCTCAACACGCAGGAGAACCTGGTGTTGAGCTCTGTGAACATTAGCGGGCACCTCTCTGGCATGGCCAATGCCTTTAGAACAGTCTATCAACTGGGAGGGGTCACCGGGTATTTTAAGGGGGTCCAAGCACGTGTGATCTACCAGATGCCTTCAACTGCCATTGCCTGGTCTGTCTATGAATTTTTCAAGTACTTCCTTACCAAACGCCAGTTGAAGAAAGGAGCTCATTGTTGATGGATCACCCGTAGCAAACTGCAGACCGAATCTCTGAGAAAGCTGTTGGCCTCTTTCTCTCTCTCTCTCTCTCTCTTTGTGTGTGTAAACTTCACCAGGTTCTTTATGGCCATTTGTAAAGAGAGCTGGTGGATCCCTGACTGGATTACACGTGTGCGTGTGTTTGTGTGTGCGTGCACCGAAGGGTGCGGTTTGGAGAGGAAGGGGCTCGCGCTCTTCCCCATTCTCCTCCTGCTTTTGCTAAATCAAAATGTTTATTCTTTTAGACCCTGTATTTATAGTTTTCTAGAGTATGGATAAGTGTGATGAGATTTGTACAAGTTTGTACTTATTTTTTCACTGGGATGCTTGGGGGAGGGGGGGGGCTAACCTGGGGGAGGGTTGCGTAGGGGGAAGACAAAATGCTTCTGCTTTGGGCAGCTTTTCCAAAAAAGGCAATGCCTTCAAACCGAACAGAGACATTACGTGATGGATAAAATAGATGGATAATATTTATCCTTTATTTTTCTATTATTATCTTTTTTAAGGAAAAAAAAATCGTGCCAGGGTGACTGCTTTGTGAATTTTAAAGGGCTTTACTGTTTTTGTTGTTCCATTGTTAAGAAGAGTATTTTCCTCCTAAACTAGTACAGCGCCGAGCACATCTGGTTTGATATTATACTGGCTGTTAATGTTTTTTTCTTTTCCTTCCGATGTACTTGAAGGGATTTCAGGCACAAAATACTTAGATTATGGCTCTTAGGATCAATGGACAGTCTCTTTGTGTAGGTGGGATGCTGAAATACACAAAAAAAGGAGCTTGGTTTTTTCGTGTGGCAAGAGCTACGGATGTCACCTTGACTTTTGTCACTGTGTCTCTCTCTCTCTCACACACACACAAAAAAACCCCACCCTCCAGATCTCTTGTTTCAGTCTCTCCCAAGGGGTTTATGTTACATTTTCCCTCCTCCTTAAGCATGTCTGAACTGGGCTGCTTCTGATAATACCCATTCAAAACTCTTTTTCTTTGGTCGCGCTTTAGCAGGTGTTAAACCTCTGAAGGTACTCCAATGAATTCCATTTCATTTTGGGATTGCCGTTGTAGTCTTTAATTTAGTTCTGCTTCTCACCAAAGCTCTTCTCCCCTTCGGCCTTCTCTCTACCCCCTTCAGCCAGGCGTACTATTATATGCAAGTATATTGCACTTGTGCGTAAATGAACACTCAACAATTGTGCTCAGGAATGGGGGCATTAGGTTTACATTTCTGCAATAAAGCTTGCCTCAGATTGCTTCTCCAAAGAAATACTGACAGCCATTCGCTGGTGTTCCGTTTTGGCACTGAAAACTCTTAGTGAAGGAAAGACTTCAAGTCGCAACTTAAGAAAAAGAGAAATGAGGGTGAGACGGTGCATCTGTGAGCATCCCTTTTCGGGTACTTGAGCTGTTAAAATGAAGACGACTAGAGTCATTTTAGCACTTGGGACAAATTTGGGTGCGCCACTGTGAAAACTTAAGAGTCCTAAAAGAAAGTTTCCCCACCCTTCTTATCTAAAGAGTATTGTGTGGAAACAGATTGCAACTGGAAATCATGTCCTCAGTTTACTCGCCACACCTTGGATTTTGCTAACTAAGGAAGTGGCCTCCAAAACTTTTAGGCACCTGGAAGAGATTCTGTGGTGAGAGGTTTTTCCGTGAGGGGACGTGGTTTTGTGTCACAGATGGGGCTTTGCTTGATTGCGTGGCCCGGGCTTTGGCATGCCGCAACCCAGTACCAGATCCCTTTTCTAAGGTTTTTACAAATAACCTGTCCTTGCACACACCATGCATTTAATGGGAATGCTGTCCAGCGTTATCTATCATGAGTTGCTCATCCCCTTTTGTGTATAAGGGCAGAAACTTAGTCTTAAAGCTTGAATTGTAAATGTTGACTTCTTAGATCAGGATGCTTTCAGAAAACGTAGTTTCCCAGCCCTGATGGAAATGAAACAAAACAATAACTCGAGAAATATTTCCTTGGTGACCTCAGGAAATACTGCTTTCTTGCAGTAAATATTGTAAAGATTGACATCAATATTTTCCAATTGGGCTTTTCCCCCCAACTGGGCCAGGATTGCAGTGGAGAATTCCCAGCCAGCCTTGAGAGGAAAAAAAGTTTGAAGGGGTATGCCTTCATAACCAGCTACATTTTATTCAAAAAATAAAATAAATAGAGAATTTACAATGCCAACAGATTGCTTTTAAGTCATGACATTATATTTGCAGGCTTTGGAAAGTTTTTTTTTAAAGCAGAACCAGGTTTAAATCAGGTTTTTTTTTTAAAGTTGGTAATTGTAAGATGAGGGGACTTCAACTTCCAGAAGTGGAGTTGCTAAGTTTGAAGAAACACTGGTTTTAAAATGTCATTGTACTTAAGGACTGAGTTCCAGTTTGTTCAACAAAAAGAAAAAAAAAATGGGTTGAATTGCTGGCTGATTCTTCTGAAGGCCAGAGTACAAATAGCGTCTGTAACAAACCAGTGTTGTTAAATTAGAACTGTTCTTCAAAAAGTCTAACTTTTTAAAGTCTAACTTTAAAACACAAACAAATAATGGGTGGAAGGTTTCTGGGACAATACCCGTTTCCACTCCCTCCCTGTTGCTTTTTGGCCTTAGAAATACTCCTCAAATAATGTACCCACCAAGATTCTTACAAGGAGTTATCTTCCTAGAAGGGGTCTGGATTGAAGGAGAACATAGATGGTGACATGTACGAGAGAAAATATGAATTAGCGGTGGAAGGAACAGTGGATAGTTAAGCTGCTCTCCATGTGGGTGAGCCATTTTTGACTTCTTCAAGGGTCTTCAACCTTGGCAACTTTAAGACTTGTGGACTTCAACTCCCACTGGGGAGTCCACAAGTCTTAAAGTTGCCAAGGTTGGAGTTCTTGTTAGTTGCAAAGTCGTGTCCGACCCACCGCGACCCCATGGACAACATTCCTCCAGGCCTTCCTATCTTCTACCATCTTCTGGAGTCCATTTAAGCTTACACTGACTGCTTCAGTGACTCCATCCAGCCACCTCATTCTCTGTCGTGCTCTTCTTCTTTTGCCCTCAACCATTCCCAGCATTAGGCTCTTCTCCAGCGAGTCCTTCCTTCTCATTAGGTGGCCAAAGTATTTGAATTTCATCTTCAGGATCTGGACTTCTAAAGTTCTAAACCTTTCTCATCATTGCCTATCTTATGGGGACAGATTTAGCACCTTTGGCCTGCTCAGAATGCAACCTGTTAAAACTTTTTCCCTCAGTAAGGAGGAACTGATTTCGAATCAAATTCCTTGAATGAGTTCCCTGAATTATTGTTTTTTTAAAAAAAAAATGTGCTTATAAGCTAAACCCGAATGTGTTAGTGTTACCCTGAAGTATGTTGGACTTGAAGTATTTGCAGGGAAAATTCACAACAAGGCCTCTGTGAATTCTGAGTGGGTTGGTTATTATTATTTTCTTTCTAACAACAGCAACCCCAAAATGCATAACTGAATAACAACGCAGGCGGTCCTTGACTTACGTTTATTTAGTGGCCGTTCAAATTTATAGCAGCACTGAAAAATGTGACTTATGTCCGTTTTTCACCCTCACGACTGTTGCAGCCTCCTCCTGGTCACATGCTCAACATTCAGGCGCTTGGCAACTGATTCATATTTATGACGGTTGCTGTGTCCTGGCAAGGCAATGGCGAAGCAGCAACCGTGATACTATCTTATCAACTCCCCTGATTCACTTATGGCAAGAAAGGCGGTAAAAATGGGGCACTTAACAAATGTCTTGCCTAACCACTGAAACTTTGGGCTGAGTTGTTGGTCGTAAGTCGAGGACTATCTGTGGTTCTAAAAAATGCCTAGATCAGCGTTCTGAATCCTCCTTTTCTGCTGTGTTGAGTCCCACTGTGTGCTGGGCTAGAATTCCCTACTAAGATACAACCTCTAATAGCGGCTCCCACCAAAGAAAGGCCTTTTTAAACTTTAAAGAATGAAGTGAGGCTCTGCAAATGTGGAAGTACATATCCTGCTGCTTTTTGTATGCTACAGACGCACATTTTTAAAGTGAATTTCTTTTTTTTTTTTTTTTGTGGAAAGCTGACATTTGCTGTTTGAAAATTGCTGCCTTATACATTTTTACCAATGTAGACTTTTCCCCAGGAATGTTTGTACGTGTATATATACCGTCATGCTTGTGCGTGTGTACACACAAACACACACTTATACCCAGCCATAAGAAACTATGTTTTGAAATGCTGCTACAGTTAAAACACTGGGGCTCAAGTAATAAAATAAATGTGTTTGATTTATTAGATCAAGATCATTTTTCCCCCCCAAAAAAATGGCTGCTAAAAATGCTCATTGACTTAAAATGTTTTTTGGGGGGCCATTATTGTGGCGGGTCTGGCTTTTCCTTTCTCCTTTGAACGGTGGCTGATGATTGCATGTGTTTCCCCCATTTAATTTACAGAACCAGAAAGGAACGTTGAGGATGGCTGAACATACTAACAAGGGGAAATATTTGTAGCTCAGGGTTGGCAACAGGGGCCCTTGGTGATCTCTGAGCTTGCTTATTTCCTTGCGGACATTTCATTACCCAAACTAGATAACACCATCTAGAGTAGCATTGATGATGTTACCTAGTTTGGCTAATGAAATGTCTGCAAGAAAACAAATAAGCTCAGAGAGTACCAAGGACCCCTCATGACTGAACATACTTAGAGAGTAAGGAAGACGACCTTGACAAAGATAGACAAATGGAGCCTGTATGTCTATCCTCTTATTTTTTCATGTCGTTACCAGGGTTTAGTTCTCAGGTGGCACTGGTAGATTAGAGAAAGACAGGAAGCACACGTTCCCTTTGACTTGGCGGAGAATTTCATATTTTATGGTAAGGGTGGGGAATTTTAACAGTTTGAGGCTCACCGTTTGTAGGTATAGTGGCCAAGACCCACTATAACAAGGCACAGAGGAGAATTTCAAGATGTTCCATTGTCTCTTGACCTTTTGGAAGATCTCCAAAAGGTTATTTGATGGGCCTATTGTATTGTACTCGCAACATTGGATATTTCTTGGCTTAGAATGGCAAGAAGTTGTGTCATCAATGTTGAGCCATCACAATTAAAAGAGGCCCCCCAAAATTGCAAAAGGGTGTGTGTGTGTGTGTGTGTGTGTGTGTGTGTAGCTGAGTCAAGATTGTCAGTCCCGTTGAAGGAATGGTAATACTCGAGATTCCAATTGAAAAGAATATTTTGTTAGTAAGGGTTAAACCCCAGAGTTCTCAGTGTTCTCTGAACTTGGTGGTTGGCTTGAGAATCTTTCGTTACCCAACTAGATAACACGATGATGTTACCTTGCTGAGTAATAATGTACCTAGTTGGTAACGTAACCAAGTATTCCACTCTAGATCATTACGTCATTAACTGTTGGAATCTCACAATGTTTACTTGCTTCTAGTGTCAACTAGAATCATGGTGGTGGTAGCACTCTTTTATATTGTGGGGCGATAGGATTTGAATCTGGGCTAATAAACTGGTTTCTTAAATGCAGAGGGAGATTCGTTTCATTCAGCTCTTCAGTTTCTACACCACCAAACAATGCAGAACCTTAGGTGGTTGACTCATGCAGGTTAATAATAAAATATCCACAGTAGGAATTTCCCCCCAAACCCAAATTATCCACAGCAGGGGTCTCCAACCGTGGCAACTTTAAGACTTGTGGATTTCAATTCCCAGAGTTGAAGTCCACAAGTCTTAAAGTTGCCAAGGTTGGAGACCCCTGATCCACAGTAATAAATTTCAAAGTTAAATAGTAGAGCTTGGTAGAAGACGCCTCAGCCATGCAATCATCTTAGAAGAATCTGGTCCATGGCTGTCCAGCCTGGGCAACTTTTTAAGACTTGTGGACTTCAACTTCCAGAATCCCCCAGCCAGCCGTGCTTGGACACTCCAAGTTCTACTCAATCTGCAAATAGTCTGGTGATGAAAACTGCATCCTATGCTTATTTTTAGATGGAATCAAGATGAAGAGGGCTGCTTGATTTCAACTGGGAGGGTATTCGAAAGGGCAGACATTGTCACCGAAAAGCATGTTCCCGCCTTGGCTCCTTTCACAAGAAACAGTTTTCCCTGGGGCAACCAGGTTGGTTGTGATCAGAAGAATCATTTTGCATGTCAGCATTTGCCAAACTGCAAAACCACCATTTTATGTAATATCTTTTTTTCCACAATAAAGGGAATAATACAAAGGAAAAGGAAAGTAAAATTTAAAAAAAATGAAAGAAAAGTGTTAAATAAGTAATATAAATAAATAAACAATGGCATGACAAAGTAGCAACGGTGGTGCATTGAAAGATCTGCAAGAAATACCATTTGCCTGCAAGCAAGTATTGCTGAGACCATAAGGTAGAGAAAGTAATAGAAAACGAGGAAGATAAATTGCTCTGGCATTTTAGAATTCAACAGACAGGCACCTGCCACATAATGTCCCAGACTTAACAATTGTTGATAAGAAAGACAAAAAAGTCTGGATTGTGGACAAGAATAAAGCAGAATAAAACAGAAAGAACCGGAGAAGAAAAACAAAATTACAAACACTTGCAAATATAAAAGGACTGTGGCAAAAGAAAGCAAAAATAGTCCCAATAGTTTGTTTGTTTTATTCATTTATTTGTTGAACTTGTATTAGGTAACAAATCTAAGTATAAACGTGATGATTAATACATGAAATGGATACAAATAAAAGGGAACATTAGGACAGGGACAGTAGGGACGTTGGTGCGCTTATGCACGCTTATGCAACCTGTTGCCATCCCAAAACAACACTTCAACAGCATTGGCCAATCCGCTATCAGTCCATTCATTCAAGCAATCAATCAATTAGAATACAGCTGGAAGGGACCTTGCAGGTTTTCTAACCCAACCCAATTAGCTCAAGCAAATGACCCTATACCAGTGGTGGCTAACCTTTTTCGGCTCCCATGCCGATAATTGTGTGCGCGCTCGTGCAAATTTGAGCATGTGTACAATTATCCAATGAGTTTGGTGGTCCCTGAGCTCCAAATGGTTGGCGACCCCTGATTTATAAAGTGGCACTAATACTTCATGTGTTGCAAAATTGCAAAAGGCAGCTTTACCCGAAGAGTTTACATCCTGTAACAATACCTTTAACACCATCAAGCATCAACATCTACCTATCCAAGGTCCTTGGGGAGGACTTGATAGGTAGACAAAAATTCCAAATCTAGTCTGAACATTTGGCTGATAATAAGTAAGAATAAAAAGGTGCAAAAAGGTGGCTTCCAATGTCTACACCAATTATAAATGCATGCATATTTTATCTTCTTATATAGTTGCTCTTTTTCTATGTTCTACCCTTTCTAACTGAAGGTAAAGGTTCCCCTCGCACATACGTACTAGTTGTTTCTGGCTCTAGGGGACAGTCCTCATCTCCATTACAAAGCCGAAGAGCCAGCGCTGTCCAAAGACGTCTCTCTGGTCATGTGGCCAGCATGACTAAATGCTGAAGGTGCACAGAATGCTGTGACCTTCCCACCAAAGGGGCCCCTATTTTTCTACTTGCAGGTTTTGCATGCTTTTGAACTGCTCACTTGACAGAAGCTGGGACAAGTAACGGGAGCTCACTCCGTTACACAGCGCTGGGGATTCGAACCGCCGAACTGCCGACCTTTCTGATTGACAAGTTCATCGTCTTAGCCACTGAGCCACTGCGTCCTTACCCTTTCTATCAAACCCATAAATAACAAATTCCTTTGCCCCCCTATTTTTAGCAAAAGCCCCATAAAAGATTTTCAGTCAATTGCAAGTGTAGTTACTGTCTTTTTTCTACTCAGACAAGTCAATTTTATTATCTCTGCAAAAGCTGTCATCTTCACCAACTATTTCTCCATTGTGGGTATTTTTATTTTTGTGCATTTAATAGTTGCACAAAGGTTATCCTGTAGAAAACCAACCTCCCATAATCTTTTCTAATTCTCTATCCACTAGTCCCAGTACGAAATGGTCTGATTTTTAAACCCACATTATGCCAAGAAGCCTATTTCTGCACAGCTATAACGAAAAGAGACTGCCAGTGAGTAAATGGACCTTGGCAGTTTGTACAATTGCAGCTTCTGGGTGGCCTGTAGAGGCAGAATCATAGAATGGTGGATGGATCATGAATTGATGCAAGAGGAATGCGACAGAGAGTCTGGCAATGAATATAGGTAGTCATTAACTTACAATCACAATTGAGCTCAAAATTTCTGTTGCTAAGCAAGACAGTTGTTAAAAGTGAATTTTGCCCCATTTTACAACCTTTCCTGCCCCAGTTATTAAGCGAATCATTGCAGTTGTTAAGTTAGTAATAGGGGTTGATAAGTGAATCTGGCTTCCTCATTACTTTGCTTGTCAGAAAGTCACAAAAGGGGAACACCTGACGGTAGGAGCTGCGGTGGCGCAGTGGTTAGAATGCAGTACTGCAGGCTACTTCTGCTGACAGCCAGTGACTGCAATTTGGCAGTTCAAATCTCACCAGGCTCAAGGTTGACTCAGTCTTCCATCCTTCTTTCCAAGGTGGGTAATTTTCTCTGGTAATATTACACTGATAACTACACTAACACAAAACATTTGCGAGACCAATACTTGAATACAGCTCATCAGTCTGGAACCCACATTACATATCTGATATTAACACAGTTGAGAAAGTCCAGAAATATTTCACAAGAAGAGTTCTCTGCTCCTCTACTTGTTGTAGAATACCTTATGCCGCCAGACTTGAAATTCTAGACCTAGAAAATCTATGCCATCTTCGGTCCGATCAAAGTATAGTATATAAAATCATACATTGCAATGTCCTACCTGTCAATGAGTACTTCAGCTTCAACCATAGCAACACAAGAGCAAACAATAGATACAAACTCAAGGTTAATCTCACCAAACTTGATTGCAGGAAATACGACTTCAGCAACAGAGTGATCAATGTCTGGAATACTGTACCTAACTCTGTGGTTTCTTCCGCAAACCCCAAAAACTTTAACCTTAGACTGTCTACTATTGACCTCACCCCTTTTCTAAGAGGTCTGTAGGGGGAGTGCATAAGCGCACCAATGTGCCTGCTGTCCCTGACCTATTGGTGTGTGTGTGTGTGTGTGTGTGTGTGTGTGTATGTATGTGTGTGTATGTATGTATGTATGTATGTGTATATATATATATATATATATATATATATATATATATATATATATATGTGTGTGTGTGTGTGTGTGTGTGTGTGTGTGTTTTCTGAGGTTCTCGCGGGTATTTGTATGTGGATCTTTGGTTGTTCGGGTTTTCTCGGGTTTTTTTGACACCAGACCCACACCCATGAGAGCCACACAAGATGCCACCACCACACTTCCATGTAGAAAACAGACTCACACCCACTCAGAAGATGACACACGACCACAGACCAGAAGCCGCACTGCAGCTGCATCACTACCCACTTCAAACCCCTCCGAGCCATACACAAAGCAAACCGACACCCACTATGAAGATGCAGCACGACCACGAACTCGAAGCCAAACAGCAAGATCACAGCTCACCAACTCAAATCCCCCAGCAACTAAGACTAACCTGAGCACAACCAAGCCCCCACCTGAACAGAACACGCCTCCAACCAATCAGAACACGGCCAACCCCCCAACCAATCAGAACACAGCCAAACCCCCTACCAATGAGAACACACCCCCACCCAATCAGAACACAGCCAAGCCCCCACCCAATCAAGTCCCACCCCCACTAGCAGTTAAAAGGAAGAAGCAGCTGCAATCTCACATCACTCTGAGAAGCAAGAGCCGAAGACAGAAGCCTGAAGATGATGAATGAGACTTCATCGAAACGTTGCCTAGATACTTCGAATCTTACGCGGGAGAAAACCCGAACAACCAAAGATCCATATATATATATATATATATATTCCTATATGTATCCATGTATTCATAACTATGTTTTTACTTTTACCTATTATCTTGTAAGCAATTGACAAAAATAAATAAAAATAAAAAAATAAAAAAATGAGGGCAATAAGCTGACTCTATACACCGCTTAGAGAGAGGGCTGGGAAGCACAATGAAGTGGTATATAAGTCTA